GGTCGTAGAGGGGCGAGCGCGGGAGGGCCGGTCGGGGCTAGCGCGGGGCCGATCGGGGGCCTTAGGAGGCTAGCGCGGGGCCGACAGGGGCTTAGGAGGCTAGCGCGGGGCCGATCGGGGGCCTTAGGAGGCTAGCGCGGGGCTAGCGTGGGGCCGACGGGGGCTTAGGAGGCTAGCGCGGGGCCGATCGGGGGCCTTAGGAGGCTAGCGCGGGGCTAGCGTGGGGTCGACGGGGGCCTTAGGAGGTTAGCGCGGGGCCGATCGGGGGCCGTGAGAGGCTAGCGCGGGGCCATACGAGGCCTTGAGAAGGAGGCGCTCGAGGCGCAGGAAAAAGAACGGCGGCGCACGAGGGCGCGGCTAGCGGAAACGGTGGGCCCTATCGTTTCGGTCCTAGGTGGAACCTAGGCTCGTAATACCATGTCAGAATGAGAAACGAGAATGAGGAGTGACTAGCAGGAACAACAGTACAAATATGTCAAACCCTAATCTGGTGTACCCCTTATGGTGTGACCCACTACAGCCTAGAACCACACAAACATATAAATGTTTGACACGCTCCCCGTTTTATCGCCCTCTTCATCGTTATTGCGTTGACACGTGTTGTCATCGGCTCCGGCTCCGCCCATTTCGGAAGTGTCACGCGCCCCTTGTTGCACAGCACCGTGATCGCCCCCGACGTCCAGTCGATCGTCGGATTGAAACGCTGTAGCCAATCTCGTCCCAGCAGCACATCGCAACCGTCCAGTGTTGTCGCCAGCATTCGCATTAAAAACCCGAAATCGTCGCCACACTTCATCCGAATTTGTCGGACCTCGTCTTTTATCGCCAGCGGTGTCCCGTCCACCAGACGCGCGTCAATCTCGGGCAGACACTTGTCCAGTTTGACCCCTATTTTTTTTGTCGTTGCCAGGTTGACGAGACTGTGGCTCGCCCCACCGTCAACGAATAAATTTATTTTATAGCCGTTAACCCTCCCCACGACCAGCACAGGGTGATCCACGTGTTCATCCACCTTATTCATCCGGTTTCGGTCGATAGCCCGTATCGGTACCACCACTCGGTGTGGATGTTGATTGCCGGGCGACGGGGTCTCGTCAGTAGGTGGCCCGACTGCTACTGACTCGTCTCTTTTCCCGACCCCTCTCCGTCGTTCCTGTTTCCCTGTTTCAGCTCCGGGCAGTCCTTCCTCCAGTGGCCCAGTTGGTTGCAGTTTAAGCACGTGTTAGGTCCACGTCTCGGTGCATCCACCCCGTTGATTGTGGGCTGGCGCGGCGGTCCACGAAATTGAGTGCCCTCCCGGGAACTCATTCTCGCCCATTGCATTAGTGCATCCGTTGATTCAGCCACCTGGACGGCATCGAGAAAACCGTGTGGCCTCGCCCGTCGCACCTCGTACTGTACTTCGTACTTGAGGCCTGCGACATATCGGTCGAGTCGTTCCACGTCGCTCATATCGTCCACTTGGTCAGCCAAATTGCAGAATGTTGCCGTGTAATCTTGGACCGACGCCACATGCTTCCAGGTGTGCAGCTTCATGCGAGCAGAATCCGAGGCGGATACATGCTCGAATCTGGTTCGCAGCGCGACGCCCCACTCCGTCCATGTGTGTATCGTGGCCACTCCGAAGATTGAAGTTGCCTGTTGCGTGACAGTTGTCCAGATCCCGTCGTTCGCACGTGACATCCCTGCCGGAGTCCCCCCTGTCTGAAGAGTCCGCTTCCACCACTCCAACGCCGGCCCTCGTAATACTGACACTGCAAAATTAATGTGGGTAGCATCGTCAGCAATTTGCGCAGCATTGAAAAACGCCTCCACTCCGAACAACCATGCCGACACAGTGACGGTTTTGTCGCTGGGGTTGAACGGGGGTGGGTTCGTCGGTTTTATTTTAACAGTTGTTGAGACTGTTGCTGCTGCATGCATCGGGGGCGCCACTAAAGCCATCACCGGGGTTGTCGCTGTTGCCTGACGTGGTGTAGTCTGCGACTGTTGCCTCGACGCCGCTCGTGTCTGTTGCTGCGGCTGTGACTGTTGCCCCTGCGTCCCTTGTGCTTGTTGCATCCGTGCCGTCGACTCATCTTCAGCGTCCAGCGAGTCCTGTAGCTCGCTAAGGACCTCGTCGTTAGGCGCGAAGCTGCTACTTGCTTCATCCACGACGGCCGACTCCTGACGCGCTTCACCTCGCGTCTAGCGTAGCTCGACGTTTTCCACCCTCTGGCGCTCCAACTTGCCAGACATAGTCTGCATGTTGGATTGCATCGCCCGAAAGTCGTGCAAAAACACGTCAAACTCTGCTTGTGTCATGTTTCGGAGTCTCATCCTAGCGCGCAGCAGGTTAACATCGATTTTTATGGTTTTGATGAAGGCGCAAACGCTATTAGTCGGAGCGAGATAATCGTATCTATCTCTCAGCTGACCGCTTTGCAGCCCACCAAACCTATCGCACCCCTGCACTAAAACTACCCCGGAAAGTGGAGGGTAACATAGGAAAGTAGCTCTGATACCAAGTGTTATGAGTTGTATGAAAGAAGAGTGCGCAGAATGCAATATCGCGGAAGTGATTACAACTACTGAGCAAACAACGAGGCCTAGGTATAATATAGCACAGCTAGCTAGGCCGAGGTCGCGGAGTCGCGCGAAGGTTGGGTGCAGGTTTGGGGTTGGGAAACCCGAGGGCGACGCGGGAGACGTTCGGAAGGCGAGGTCGTCGGACCGAGCCTGAATTCCGAAAGTTGGAATCGTACGCGTAAGAGATGCTTCAGTAAGGAATTAGCGAAATTCCTTACAGGACTCGTAAGTCGTAACAAATTCAATAACTAAATGGAAATTAATCGCTGACATTATTTTTAGAGGATGTTTATTCATCCGAAGTGTATGTAGAAGCTATTCAAATCAAGAGGGCAAGAATCATCTGTTGGCATTACCAGTAGCAGGTTGCTATCGCAATTTTCCGGACCTGGATCTACAAGCTGAAGGACAAACACAGTCTCTGGGTCCGACCACAGCTGGTCGAAGGAAGTGCATGCCGTGCTTGGCAAGGGCAATGGCCTCCTGCTGTAGCGGCATTGCCTTCGCCCCGCGAACTTTCAGCTTCTTGGGCCTTGGGGGGAGTATCTCCAAACAGTTCCTACGTCGCTAATTCTGTATCAGGACGTGGAAGGTTTCGCGAAGGAGGATAGCCACGTTTGTGGTTTTGACGAGTGTCGCGATGGTCAGATCGTTCTTCTACGACATGTCCACGACCACAATAACTGTATTTGTAGTTTTTCAGCCAGCTTTGGGAGCTCCACATCGTCGTTCCCCGACTAGAATAATTGTCAGTAGTTTCCAGCCAGCACAAACACAAGGCACCGCAGAATATCACTCATCGTTCTTCAGCCAGCACAGGCATAAGGCAAAGCATTCTTCTCAGCGGTCTCGGTGTCCTTGTCAGCTTCCATGGCTCCTTCACGGCACTTCCATGCGGCGAGCGCGCTTCGCTGCTCCGCCATCTTACTAATCTCCATAGCTATCGCATTAAATCTGGTGCCAGCAGCGCGTGCGCAACAGACATGCTCAAGCGTCTACCCGTGTAACCCGCCGACCCTATGCTGCAGGTCAGTTTTAGACGCCTCAGATTCGGGCCTTTTTTTTTTTCTGCAGGTCAGCTGGATGCTGCGGCTGCTCCTTGCTCTTTCCTGTCATATCGCTTCAAATTCGAGCCTATCCTACACAATTACTTCTCAACTCTCATGCTCCTCGCCTTGTAAACCGCCGAGCCCTGCTGCAGGTAAGTCGACGCGATCTTGAGTCGCCTCCGAGTTCGCTCAGCAAGCTTCGCGCTTCCAGTACACGCCCTGCTTCTTCCTGCTATGATAGTATCCTCTCTTGCTTGGCCGCTTTCGGTCTATTCGGTGCTTCAGGAACCGGTCTTTTGAGACGTCTTACAATTCTGCTTGTAGAAACCATTTTCCTTGTCATAAACCAGTTGTGAGACATCTGCTAGGGAGTCCAAACACTCAGCTTTCAGAACAAATTTCCTTGTCATCTGATGCTAACTCTAAGACGTCTGCTTTCAGAACACGCAATCATGCCATCCAAGCCCATCCGTCCATCTCTTAAGCTAGTTTTCACCACTAGTCGCCTCCGTACCATCGCCCAGAACCGCCTCGATATCTCTTCGCCCTTCCCATCCTTCCCCGTCTTCCCTTCCACCACTCCTTCCCTTTTCACCCGCCTTGTCCATGACCCTCGTTCCCCGGCCTCTTCCCTCACCCTCGGTTGCCCGCAGCCAGTGGGGCTATTGTGGAAGCACTGACGCATACTGCGGTGCTTTGTGCACTAACGGGCCGTGCCAGGGTGAGAATGACTGAGGACGACCCTTTTGCATGAACTGAATCATAGGATAAACTGGATGGCTGATCAACTCGTTTTCTTCTTAGTGACGATTCAAGTAATCCAGTGAATTCAAATTATACAGATATTTCAGGTGAGTTGGAAGATTCTGTTCTTGAGATTATTGTTTGTTCAGTACAATATTGAGGATAACTGCAACAATGCGCTAGCAGTGTAACTCTACATGCCCTAGTTAGTTTGCACCTTGCACCCACATGCTCGCTGCTCTCTCTGCATCTTTCGTGTGCATGGTTGCATTTTTTAACATTGGTCCACCCCGTTACTTCACATGCACTCTCATATCCATTCCCACTTATGCTCCACGCATACACGCATGCCAACACTAATCTGCACATACATAACGCACACCATGCATGCATCCATGCATGCACGCACAATGCCACCTTATTGTCCGTCCCCTCCCCATCATCTTCTGTTGGACGACACGACAGAAATGCCAGCTCAGCAATGCTCCAGCTCCTCGCCGTGCAACCCACCGACCCTTTGCTGCAGGTTTGTATAAGACATCTCGCAACTCGAGCCTATGCTGCAGGTTACTTTGGCGCCTCACAAACCGAGCCTATTATGCTGCAGGTTACTTTGGCGCCTCACAAACCGAGCCTATTATGCTGCTGGTCAGCTCGACGTCATTCCTCTCCCTGCTCCGTCCTGTCGTCTGCTCCGTCCTGTCGTCTGCTCCCTCCTGTCGTCTGCTCCTTCCTGTCATCCTCTCCCTGCTCCTTCCTGTCCTCTCATGCTTTCAGAACACAACCTTTTGGTCCCTCTCACAACACACACGTTCCTTTTCGTTCACCAGCTCCGTCTCCTCTCAAAGTTCCACCTTCACAACATACATCTCGTTTTTATCGAAGCCATCCATCTACCTCTCTCTCAAGCTAGTGTTTTCAACGTTACTTTCTGGCTGGCCCCCTACTTCTCACCCTCAACTCACACACCTCAACTGCCATGTCTCTTCGCCCCTCTCATCCCGTCCCCTTTTCTTTCACCTCTCCATCTCCCGCTCTGTACTTAACCCTGGTCTTCCTGCCTTGATTCTCGCGAGTGATGCTGGTGTGGAAACAACGCGCTTTTTTATTAAAACTCTTCCACTGCCTCTCCCTCACCCTCTTTTGTGCGCAGTGCGTCGGGCTGGTGTGGAAGCAACTCCTCCTTCTGCGGTGCGGGATGCCAGAGCGGGCCTTGCACAGGTGAGAGAGATTTCGATGATAGAGATGTTCCAGATACGAAGCATTGTTCAGATCATACGATTCATATTATTAGGAAGATTCATACTATTTGAAATATTCAAATCTTTAGGAAGATTCACATTATTAGGAAGGTTCACATTATTAAAAGATTCACATTATTTGGAAGATTCAGATATTTCGGATATTTTGGATTATCCCTATGATCTGGATGAGGTGACTTTTGAGTCGACTCAAAAGATTATCCCTATGATTTGGATGATTTAGCCTCCCGTCACCTCCTCCTCCCCCCCACATCCGCGTTCAAACCACTCCGCCTCGCCCCACCTCCGCCTTCTCCCCACCTCTTATCTGCTTCCCCTCCTCCACCTCTTATTTTCTTCCCCTCCTCCACCTCTCCCCCATCTTACCTCTCCCTCTCTCTTTTCCCACCAGTTGGAGGGGGAGGGAACAAGGAAGGGGCGTCCACGGGGGTGGTGGTGGGGGCGGTGGTGGGAGCAGTCGTGCTGCTGCTAGGAGTGGTACTTCTAATCGTGTTTTTGTATAAGAGATTCCAGAAGAAGCCAGCAACAAACGACGAAGGTAAGCCAAGGCGTGTGAGGGGTTTTACGGTTTTCTGGGGAATTACGGATAAGGGGCCTGTGGAATCAAGATAAGATCTCCTGATTGAGATGGGGCCACGGATTCACAAGGGGATAAACGGATAGATACGGGGCTCACGTGGTTATAAACAGCTCGTGGATGGATACAAGAAAACCTAATGTTACAACTGTGCTGCTTTGGAGTTGGGAACTGCCGAAACAGTGTTGGGATATATGCTGGTGGGAGCTCTTAACAGCATTACATGAGACAAGCTGGTTTTTGAATTCTCTTAGAAACCCGTCTTTGAAGACGCGGCCTCTCTGAAACGGTCCCACATGTTAGCTTGCCTCAGCACCCAGCTCACACGACACAGACAAGTGCGGAACTGCATGCCAGCTTGCCTCGGCAATGTGCCAGCTTGCCACGGCAACCCTCCTCATCTGTTCCCACTTTGCATTTGCCGTCCCTACACCTGTTCCTGCCATTCATCCACCATTCCCCCAGAAGCAGCAGCAGCAGCAGCAGCAGCAGCAGTGGGGAGACCCGGGTCGATGCAGTGCAAGTTCTACCCCTTGACGGACGTGCTATGGGCGACCAACAACTGGGCTGAGGCGAATAGGATCGGCAGCGGCGGGTATGGAGATGTGTACAAGGGCGTGTCCCCCCATGACTCGTCCATGCTGTGGGCCGTGAAGCGCGCCACTGTATTCACAACTGATGACTTTCGCCGAGAGGTGAGTATGGAGAGAGGGGGGTGCGGTAGTAGTGCAGTGCTGTGCAGTGTGGTGCAGTGCAGTGCAGTGCAGTTCTTTTGAGTGTGGTGCAGCCGTGTCTGCCCCCCCATGACTCGTCTGTGCTGTGGGTGGTGAAGCGCGCCACGACGACCGGGTGTCTTTAAAGCTCGCGTCTCATATTTCCAACCGTTTAACGCTTGGTTGGGTTTGCTTGACTGTGATTGGGCAACGAAAACGAAATATTTGACGAGTGGGTTAAAAAATCACAGCGAACTACCAAAACAGTCGAGGCCAAAACAACCAGGGTGGGTTGGTTTGGGTGGAAAACGAGCCAAGGGGGACAGGTTCGGTCCCCCCTTCTGTCAACGTTGAGTTTCAGAGTCTCATATTTTCGGAAGTTGTAAACGCTTGGTGTGCACGGGAAGTGTGCGACAGCCAACTTTCCCAAACCACCCCTTGCTTTGGTGTGCTTTGCGACAAACTTTGCTGTTACCAAATTCCAACCGTTTAACACTTGGTTGGATAGCAGAAATATGAGACGCGAGCTTTAAGAACCCTTCCCCTTTCCTCCCACCACCTCCCATCAAATATCTCCATTCCGTGTCGGATCAATGAGATGGCGTGCAAGAACCACGGCAACCACGTGCGCCTGGCCTGCTGGGCTATTGCATGACCCCCCCTTCCCCTTCCCCTCTTCCCCTCCCCTCCCCCTGCCCCCCTCCCCCTCCCCCTGCCCCTCCCCCTTCCCCTCTTCCCCTCCCCCTCCCCCTGCCCCCCTCCCCCTCCCCCTGCCCCTCCCCCTTCCCCCACCAATCTGGACCTCGGATCAATGAGATGGCGTCAAGAGCCACGGCAACCACGTGCGCCTGGCCTGCTGGGCTATTGCATGACCCCCCCTTCCCCTTCACCTCTTCCCCTCCCCTCCCCCTGCCCCCCTCCCCCTCCCCCTGCCCCTCCCCCTTCCCCTCTTCCCCTCCCCCTCCCCCTGCCCCCCTCCCCCTCCCCCTGCCCCTCCCCCTTCCCCTCTTCCCCTCCCCCTCCCCCTGCCCCCCTCCCCCTCCCCCTGCCCCTCCCCCTTCCCCCACCAATCTGGACCTCGGATCAATGAGATGGCGTGCAAGAGCCACGGCCGCCTGCTGGGCTATTGCATGGCCCCCCCCTCCGCCCCCCCCCTCCTCCTTCACCCTCCTTCCCCCGCACCCAATAACAACGTGTTCGTGGCAGATCGAGGAGATGGCGTGCAAGAACCACCCACACCTGGTGCGCCTGCTGGGCTACTGCATGACCCCCCCTCCCCCTCATCCCCTTCCCCTCCCCCTCCCCCTCCCCCTCCCCTTCCCCCTCCCCCTGCCCCCCTCCCCCTCCCCCTGCCCCTGCCCCTGCCCCTGCCCCCCCCAATCTCGACGTCAGATCGAGGAGATGGCATGCAAGAACCACCCACACCTGGTGCGCCTGCTGGGCTACTGCATCCACATGGACGCGGCAACAGGAGCAATCGAGCAGATTCTCATCTATGAGTTCATGCACAACGGCGACCTCGAGCGGTGGATCGGACCAGGTGGGTTGCCTCTGGCTGATTGGTCTTTGGAGAGAGATTTTTCCATTGGCTAGGAGCTAGACGAGAGCACGGAACAATACCATCTATGAGTTCATTCATGCACAATGGTGACCTCGAGATTAGGCGGAGAGGAAACGAGACAGAGGACTAGGTGGGTACAGGGATCACTTTTGAGAATTCTCAAAAGTGATTTCGATATAGCAGGACTAGGTGGGTGCCGGGATGGAATCTGCTGCATACACATGGTTGTGGGGGCTGGGGGCAATCGAGCAGATTCTCATCTATGAGTTCATGCACAATGGGGACCTCGAGAGGTGGATCGGACCAGGTGGGTGCGCAGATGGTGGTTTTCAAGGCACCTGAAAATAAGGTGCCTACACTCCACCACGTGTGGCTGTACCCCTGACCCTGCAGCAGCGGTTTCACGTGCTCATATGTGAAACTCAAGGCTTGCAATGCAATACCTTCACAGCTTCATCACCCATTCCCACGCTTCTCACTCTATAATCTTTTTTTATTTTTCTTTTCGGTTCCTTTCTCTCACCACAACCACCACCACCAGGAGTGGTGGTCCCTCTGAACCTGCAGCAACGCTTGGACGTGCTCATAGGTGTGGCTCAGGGCCTGCAGTACCTGCACAGCTTCAACATCGTTCATCGGGACATCAAGCCCGCCAACATCCTGCTCGACAAATCCATGCAGGTGAGATCTTGAGCCTCTTCTGAGTGTGTGGTTTTCCCTGTAAGCACCTCCCTTCCGCACGGGAGAGAGAGTACCTCCACAGCTTCAACATCGTGCATTGTGATACCTAACCTACCAGGCCTGCCAACGTCCTGCTTGACAAGCACATGCAGGTGACAGCGAACGTGAGGGGTGCACGCTCACAGATGTGTGCATGCATCCATCCCTGTGGGGTTTCAATGGCATATGTGTGCGTGTATGAGCATCTATGCGTGCGTGCATTTGGGCACGCAATGCTTGTGGTTCCCATTTGACAGCTCCGAGTTGACTTTTGAGTCGACTCAAAATGTTCCCCAGGCGCGAACGGCCCCCTGGTGCTGAAACTTCTGCTCAACCCGCTGGTGGGGATCTATTGATCTATGCGTGCGTGCATTTGGGCACGCAATGCTTGTGGCTCCCATTTGACAGCTCCTCACCCCATCCATATCGAAATCACTTTTGAGAATTCTCAAAAGCGATATGACAGCTCCTCACCCCATCCATATCGAAATCACTTTTGAGAATTCTCAAAAGCGATATGACAGCTCCTCACCCCATCCATATCGAAATCACTTTTGAGAATTCTCAAAAGCGATATGACAGCTCCTCACCCCATCCATATCGAAATCACTTTTGAGAATTCTCAAAAGTGATATGACAGCTCCTCACCCCATCCATATCGAAATCACTTTTGAGAATTTTCAAAAGCGATATGACAGCTCCTCACCCCATCCATATCGAAATCACTTTTGAGAATTCTCAAAAGCGATATGACAGCTCCTCACCCCATCCCAAAGCCAATGCGACCCCTCATCGTCCCCCTCCTACTCTTCATCCCATGCGTTTCAATGTCGGTCCTCTGTCTCGTCTCCTCTCCGCCTAATCTCTCTGCCTCACTCTCTTCCTCTCTCTCTCTCTCTCTCTCTCTCTCTCTCTCTCTCTCTCTCTCTCTCTCTCTCTCTCTCTCTCTCTCTCTCTCTCTCTCTCTCTCCACCTCTATCTCTGCTTCTCTCTCTTCGCCTCACTCCAGGCCAAGGTATCTGACTTTGGTCTGGTGCGGATAAACAAAGGCACCACTGTTGGCTTTTCGTTCTCTCCTCACTCTCCTCTCTCTCTCTCTCTCTCTCTCTCTCTCTCTCTCTCTCTCTCTCTCTCTCTCTCTCTCTCTCTCTCTCTCTCTCTCTCCACCTCACTCCAGGCCAAGGTATCTGACTTCGGTCTGGTGCGGATAAACAAAGGCACCACTGTTGGTGCAACGCGGGTGATGGGAACACCAGGTTATGTGGACCCTGCATACTCATGGACACAGAGGGCCACTCCTGCTGCAGACGTGTACAGGTGAGTGGAGATGGAAGGGTTTAGTGCCGTGTAGATAGCACAGGTGAGTGCAGGAGTGATGGGCACACCAGGTTATGTGGACCCTGCATACTCATGGACACAGAGGGCCACTCCTGCTGCGGACATGTACAGGTGAGGCGCAGCTGTGAGTGGAATGCTTATGCTTACAGCACAGATGACTGCTACAGGCGAGCCCACTGGTGTTGGGGAACAGTAGGCTATGTGGAGTGGACCCTGCATACTCATGGACACAGAGGGCCGCTCCGCTCCTGCAGCAGACGTGTACAGGTGAGAGAAGAGCAGTCATGAGTGAGGGCACAGGTGAGGGTCACAACACAGGTTCAGGCCGGTACAGAGCGGTAGAATGGGAGAGAATACGGAAGAATGGGAGCTGGATAACGACAGGTTCAAACCAGTACCGGGCAGGCTTCTTAGTATGAAAGGTATTGTCTCTTTGGTGCGGACCTTCCTTGAAAGCACACCACCATTGCTCACCCTCATTGCTCACCCATTCCTCTCCACATCACCACCATTGCACACTTGCCTGTGTGTCGCATGACTCTTGCGAATAAGTTCACAAAGGTTCATGAGACAGCTCCTAAGGTGAGTATGGTTGGATAAGTTGTAAGGGAAGTAGTATTGCTGTATTGTTGTCGTAAATTGTACTGTAGAGTGTACGGGTAGAAAGGGGGGGGTTGTGGTGATATCGGAATTATGGCAGGGACAGAATAATCGAGGTGGGGCCACGCGAAGAAGGACGGAACGACGGTTGACCTGGCTAGGGCCACCGGTGAGGCGGAAAAGGGACAGGGGTGACGGGGCTGGCCGCATGCATGGAAAGGAGCCCAAGGGTTGGGCGGTGCGAGAGGTAGCTGGCAGACCCCAAGGCATAGATCCACGAGGGGTGCCAGGAAGCCAAAACTAGCACAGCAAGGACATCACCTCACTTTTGTTTGTCTTCTCGAATTTGTGGGAAAGCCTGTAAGCTTTGTTAGTAAATCTGATACTTGCAAGCTAAGCGTGCTAGATCCACGACGGAGGAGCCAAGCGATTGACCTAGAGTAGGGGAATAGTTCCGGTGCGGAGCTTCTTTGAGAGTACTGAACCGACCCTTATCACATACAAGCGCAGAGCAAGGGCAAGAGAGGGGAAGGATAATGGGGCAGGACTGGAGGAAGGGTGAAGAGAAGAACCAGGGCAGAGTGCGACAGGGACGGGAGGCTGGAGGTACTGGTAGAGGGTGCGACATGTGCCCCTATTCCCTGCAGCTTTGGGGTGGAGGTGCTGACAGTCATCACTGCCCGCAAGGCTCTGGACTGCTCAAAAGACAGTCACATGTGACGGTCCATCCCATGCCATTGTGCCCATGTCCCCTCTTCCTCCCGCTCCTCCCCCGTCCCCATGTGGCCCCCAGCTTTGGAGTGGTGATGCTGACAGTGATCACTGGGCGCAAGGCCTTGGTCTACATGGAACCCCAGAGGACTCTCAACACTCAAGAGAGCACCTCCATCAACCTCACTGATTGGGTGAGCTGCTGGTTGGAAAAGACGAGAAGGATAGAGCGATTGATGAAGCAAGTTCAGGGGTTGATTGGGAGAGGAGCAAGTGCACAGCCAGATCAAAGCTCACGAAATGGGTGACTTCACTACTTGAGAAGGGCACACAGGGTAATTTAGTCTATTACTTGTGCATATCTGCACGCTCCCAGGTGCAACCCCTAGCGGGGATGAGTAGAATCGGGTGCCCCTTCTGGCTTTTCTTCCCCTTCTGGCTTTTCTTCCCCTTCTGGCTTTTCTTCCCCTTCTGGCTTTTCTTCCCCTTCTGGCTTTTCTTCCCCTTCTGGCTTTTCTTCCCCTTCTGGCTTTTCTTCCTATGAATTCTTCTCTCCAGGGGCGCATTTCCTAGTGTCGTCCTCTCATGCCCCTTACACCTCATGTGCGCCTGTAACACTTCCATCTCTCCATCTGTTCCTCCCCCACCCCACCCTCCCAGGTGGAACCCCTAGTGAATGCAGCGGATGCGGACAAAATCAAAGACCCTCGTCTCGACGCCCCGAGCCCTGTCATTCTCAGGCTCGCCCGCCTTGCCCTCTCCTGCACCACCATGTCTGTGACCACTCGCCCCACCATGGCCCGCACTCTTTCCGATATCCTGGCGCTGAGGCAAGAGTGCTTTGGGCAGGAGTTGGATCCAGTGCTGTCGAATATTGACAGAGACTTGGCAGACATGAGGGGTTCCACCTTCTCCCAGGAGATTCGGAGGGTGGACACTATGTGTGGAGGAGGCTCGAGTGAGGTTTGACACTGTGATAGGGTCGATTGGAAGATTTAGGTAGCTTTGATTTGAGTGCTCGAAGTCTAGAAGTGAGTTTGAAGCAGGACCTTGGATACCGTATCAGCCTCTTTAGTCTGATTTGTCTGATTTGAATACCTTTTTGTTTTTTTTTTTCGCCCAGGCTGGATTCATCAGACCTTTCCAGCAAAGATTATGTGCTTGTGTAATGGCAATTGCAATATTTGCACCTAAAGTTTTCTGAGGTACCTTTTTGTATAATTGACGTTGCACTGTAGAAAACCAGTCATCACAACAAGTATAAACGGAGGAGCGACCAGTACCAAATCGGCTGAACTCAGCATTCCCCCAACCCAGACAATGTTCCCATCCGCAGGCCTTTTTCCTCTTATCGCCTCGTTTCTCGCGAATCTGACTTCACTGACTGCAATGACCTGTGTTCTGTCACCTCTCGCTATTACCCCACGATGCTTCTTCGCCTTTCTTCGTCGTCGGCTTTCCCGTACGCCATGTCCCGGTGGCGTGCAGCCGAGATTCTACTCCCCAGTCAGCCCCGCGGCCTCGATATACTCAGACGCCCAGGATCCACGAGACATTCGCCACGCCGGCCACACGTCGCGTGCGAAAAGAACCGCTTTTCGCAAACGCATGTCGTCCTCCCATTCGCCAACTCGCGCTGCTTATCATCCGTCCGTCCATCTCGCGGTCACTTACCAGTCACTTGCCGGTCACTTGCCGGTCACCGCCATTACCAACCCCGCGCCGGTCACTCACCGGTCACTGTGTCATCGCCGACACATTCAAGGTCCTCTCCGCCTTGATCCTTCATGGGGATTCCTGTTTATCGCGCGCACTGTTCTCCGCGCGCTGGTTTCCGTCCGCGAATTCCTTCTTTCCGCTGCCCTGCTCCATCCCTACTTGAAGCACTCGCCAAGCGACGCAGTCAACACAACCACTGTTGCACCCGCTGGTGTATCCTCAGTCACAGATGCACCACAGTAGCCACACCCACTACCACTTGTATATTGAGTCGACTCAAAACCCAGCAGTAAACACAAGCGCTCGCTCCAACAGTAGCCACAGCATCTCTATCTCAGTCACCACATCGGCCACCGCTGGTGCGGCTGCATGCAACCTGCTTGCTGACCGGAACTGTGTGCCTTGATTGAGTGTCTGCCTTGATCGAGAGCAGGAATCAATTGAGAGTCTCCACTCCTCCTCTTCCTCCTCTTCCTCCTCGTCCTCCTCGTCCTCATTCCACTCTCCCTCCACTCCTCGGCACATTGCTCCTACTTTCTGCACTCCTGTAACCGCCTTTCCATTGCTCAACCGCCTTTCCATTGCTCAACCGCCTTTCCATTGCTCAACCGCCTGTACCCGACCAGCACTAAGAGCAGGGTCTGAGCAGCACGAGGGAGCATCGGAGCAGTTGAGTATTTGAGCACCCCCTACACCGCTATTCACTGCTAGGCACCGCCATACACCACAATACACCCCGATACACCACCATTGACATTCGTCATTCAGGAGCTCCAAATTACGCATCCTTCCCTACACGCCGCAATGACATGCCCTCTCGCCCAACCAGCTGTTTCCATGCGCCATGCTGCCGAGATGAGGGGATGGGGGGAAGAGGAAGCGGAGAAGGACGCCCTGGGCTCATTCTGTGCTGCTTCTGGCGCCGCCGCTGCTACTGCTATCCATGTCCCTGTCACCGGCGCTGCCACTGCTGCAGTGCGTGTGGAGTGTGGTACCCGCAGCATGGGCGGTGGGGCGGTGGTGGTGTTTGGAAGAGGCGTGCCTGCTGTGGCAGTGCCTTGGATCCTGGCCATGTGTTTGCTGTTCGCACATGGAGGTATGCTTGATTTGTGGGGGGGATTTGGGTGGGGGGACGTAGACGGGAATTGTAACACCTCGCTACCCACTGGGTTAAAACGAGGCGCAGCGGATGCTCTCATACCCTTGCGTGTAAGCCCCACAGGCGTTACAGGAATGGTCAAGGCTTGCTTCTACGGCCATGCTTGTGCTTTAAGAACCACATGTCTAGTTCGAATCAAACCATGAGCACACACCTTGAGCGCCTCAAAAATGGCTTGGCTCGTGGCTTGCTTTGCAATGGCAGCTCGTTTGCTCGCTTGCTCATTCGTCCTGTTGCCTGTGTGTGCCGTTTCCACCTGCTTTGACAACAGGGGTAGGCGATGCTCTGGTATCAGCACGGTCTCACAATGCTCACCCAACAGCAGCAGGAGCAGCAGCAGCAGGAGCAGCAGCAGCACACACCTCAACATCATCACCCACATCCTCCTCCTTCCATCGCGCACCGTCCACTGAATCTGGTCAAATCCTCCCGCCCCGGCACAACAATCCAGCTTCTTTCCAACCGAATCGCTCCCCTCTCCCACCACCTCTGTCCCCTCCTGCCGCCATCAGCACAACCAACCCCACTCTCCTCACCACCAACACACCCAACCCCACAATCTCCTTCCGCCTGCCCCTATCCCGCAAGACCATGGGTCTGCCAGACATAGTCCCGGAGCAATCAAGCAACCAGGGCACACTCACCAACCAGATCCAATTCAACACTCAAATCGCCGAGGCGAAAGGCGGCAAAGTCGAGCAGAACAACTCGCAGGCTCAAGCCGTGACCTCTGCTGCTCCCAGCTCGGGGGGCGTGGCATCGGCTCCTGCGCCTGCTCCTTGCTCGGACAAGGACAAGAAGTGCAAGAAGGAGCAGGCCAAGGAGGAATTGGCAAGAGATACAAACCAGCTGCATCGGGACGTCGGGCAGGTCGGGCAGGACGTGCGGCAAATCGGGCAAGATGTGGCGCAGTGGGTGCCTCGGACCCCGTTGGACCTGACTTACACGTTTCCGGCGGCTCCGGATTACCGGAGGACTTTTGCAGAGGTCATTCCGGAGGGCGCTGATGGGATCTTTGTGAGCTTCCCTGGTGGTGGTGGGTCGCGTCGGCAGCCATGACTGATTTGTGACGAAGACTGATCGCATAAGTACACTGTGATCAGTAGTAGTGATTATCTTTGTGTGCTGTGGAGCTTGTATGTTGTAATTCTCACCTTTTCATTTCGCCGTCGTCAATGGTCCATTTGCTCTTCATATGCTGCTGTTGCTGCTGATGCACAGAGTTCAATACAGTTGTATCCATGCATTTAGAATGTGAACATTGCAAAGTATGGCATAGTATGCTTGCTCTAAACGGCACAACAGTAAGTGTAGCAACTTATGCTGTAATATAATATTCATGTGTGACGTGTGATGTGCTGTGATAATGGGGTATTTACGGTAGTACTATATTCCACGTACACATTGGTACGGTACATGTGTTTTGCCTACACCTTGAACAATTACCCTAGCTTCAGTGAACACAAGACAAGACCAAGCTGGTACCAAGAAAGAACCAGTCAGCAGCACTGCACCTGCCATGCCCCCCCCTACAGATTGAACATGACCTTGATCGCCTTCCCTCCTCCCGCACTCACTCTAAACGCCTCCTCCACCTCTCCTTGCGAGAACCCAAATCGATGCGTTATAAGTGGCTTCACATTAACGCGCCGGTCCCGCAACAGCGCAACGCATGTGTCATACGTGTGACAGTAACGAAACACACCCACAATGTCAACCTCCCGGAGAGCCACGGCCGAAGCTATAGGTAGGGACATCTCAGGCTCGGTTTCTCCCATGCCTATGAGCACAACGCGTCCTCCTGCTGACGTGGCATGGAGAGCCGTGCGCATGGTGGCGGTGATGCCAACACAGTCCATGGTGACGTGGATGGTGCCCGAGCATGCTTCTAGAAGCCGGGCGGCATTGGCTTCAGCCTGAGAGGCATTGGGAGGGGAAAGAGAGGGGTGGGACATGGGATGGAGCATAACAAATTATTATAGAAGGGGGCATGATGAGCAGCAGGATAAGCAGCAAGAGAAGCAGCAGAGGAAAGCAGAAGGCTCTGCTTCACCGTTGAAGAAGTGTTTTGAGACGTCTCAAAGCAGAAGGCTCTGCTCACCGTTGCACCCGCTTCCATCTGCAGCACTCGTATTCCACACCCCTTCTCCCGCTCCCCTCCTCCCTCGCCCTCTCCACCACCCAACAACACCTCCTCCGCAAACGCCACCCGGTCCCTGCTAACATCCGCAACGGCAACAGCAGCGGCACCCAGAGCGCGGGCAGTCATGGCCACGAGCAGGCCTATGGGACCCGCTCCCACCACTGCCACATGCAACCCGGCAAGTGACGGCTCCGAGGAGAATGGCGAGGAGGGAGTGGAGGAGGAGGAGGAGGAGGTAGTGGTGGGGGCGGAGGAAGGCGGGACTGAGGAGTGAGAGGGGTGTGTGAGGGGGAGGATGGCGGGGCCGGCGGCAAGGGCGCGGCGGCAGGCGTGTACGGCGACACTGAGCGGCTCACACATGGCGCCCTCCTCTAGAGACACGGAGGGCGGCAGGGGGAAGCAGAGGAAGTCCGGGTGGATCACCTGCGGGGGTGGGGGATGGCGGAAGGGGGAGGGGAAGAGCGGGTGTAGAGGAAGGTCTACACTGGGGAAGCGAAACAGAAATGAATGCAGGAGGGGGGTTAGCGGAATGACCTCGGCTAGATAATGCCGTGACTGGATATGGTGAGCTCTCTGTGGCTCGACGAGAAGTGCTGAGAGAAAAGGGAGAGGTGAGGTTGGGCAGCATGACATGAACGCACTCGTCCCCTCCTCTTAACCAATCCAATCCAGAAGGACACCCAAAACCCCAACTTAATCCCCAACCCCCCAATCTACTCATCACCTCCCCTCATTCTCCAGTAATACATGCGACAGTGCCAGAATGAGGTACTAAGGTCTCTGAAAGATCCTCTCTTCACCTCATTGGCCAGCGATCCATGCACGGGCGGCGTGGCAAAGAACTGCATGTCGCGGCACAGGTTGTAGCGGCCAGCGCCCCCCGCGCAGTGCGCACACGCGGCGGCTGTAGCAAGGCACCCGCGCCCCGGCTCCATGGCCACTGCGTCCCCGGGCTTGCAGCGGGTCACTGCCGAGCCCACTTGCAGCACCGTGCCTGCGCTCTCGTGGCCTAGCACCATGGGGGAGTTCACTACGTAGTCTGCGATGCGCATGTGCTGGTGAAGGGGGGGGGGGGAGGGGGATGGTGCGGGAAAGTGGTGGGAGAGGTGCAGGAGAGAGGCAAAGGTAGACAGGGAGTTGAGAGTGGTGTGTCTGACAGGTGGATGGCAGCCGCGCCCCGGCTCCATGGCAGCTGCGTCCCCGGCTCCATGGCAGCTGCGTCCCCGGCTCCATGGCAGCTGCGTCCCCGGCTCCATGGCAGCTGCGTCCCCGGGCTTGCAGCGCGTGACTGCAGAACCCACTTGCAGCACTGTGCCTGCACTCTCGTGGCCGAGCACCATGGGGGAGTTGACTATGTAGTCTGCTATGCGCATGTGCTGGTGGTGGGGCGGGAGAGGTGGGGGAGAAAGTTGACAGGGAGAGGGGAGTTGGGTTTGAAGGGTCAGTGGCCGTGCTTGCAGGAATGCGTAAGTGCTCTCATGATCTAGCACCATGGAGGGCCGGACTATGTAGTCTGCTTATCGCACGTTTGTATGAGGCTGGCAACAACGCCTGCTCCTGAACTTAATCACACCCAGAAACAGCGTGCACATGCCTGCTTCAATACAGTCACACACGGCACACACGGCACCTTATAGTAATGCACGTCGCTGCCGCATATTCCCACGGCTCTCACCCGCACCCGCACGTCGTGAGGCCCTGCCACAGCACGCGCAGGGAGGCAGAGCGAAGAACGACGAGTTACTCGCAGCGACGCAGAGCGACGAGTTACCACTCTCTGTAAGACTTCCAAGTGTTCCAGCGGCTTTTGATAAGACTTTCGCCTTTTTTCGCTTTGTGTTCCTGCTTATCTACACTTGGCACGTTCTTCCCTTCTTCATTCTCTTCTCGTTTATTCCCGATTAATCTCCACCTTTCTTCGCTCTTCTCTTGGATGCGAGCGGTGCGGTCGCGTACCCAGTTCCGAGGGGGTGGGTGCAGGAAGCAAACGAACATCTTCCACCCCATACAGCCACGCAGCAATGTTCGTCTCGCTACCGCTGCCGCCGCCGCTGGCGGGTTTCCCATCAGCCATGGGAAGAAATTCCTAGGAGATGAGGAGTAGGAGGCGACCCGAGGATAACTACGAGGCAAGAAAAAGGGAGGAAACGACGGAACACGCTAGGGAACGGAGGAATGGAGAAATAGGAAGGATTAGGAGTGCGAGGAAAGGAGAGGAGCTGTGAAGAAATGGCAGAGCTAGATGGGAATATGGGATTCGGAATTTGAAGCAGGGATCGAATGCAACCAAGATGGTGGCGACGAATTGAGAAGGTTGGGTTTGGCGAAAACGGTAACATGCACGGATGTATGTGCACGACGAAATTTGGGTATGGCTGGGGTGGTTTGTAGGCTTGGTGGGTGCCCGTAGGAACTGGAGAAATGAGCATTTATTTCCGTTACAATCCATCTCTTTCTAGGAGTACACTACTAGGTGGAACTTGAAACATAGAGCACTTCCATGTCCATATGAATGACTCTAACCCTGTTTTGCAATCTCATCTGTCTCACATTTGCCTTTCAACTTAATCATTCTTAGCACACGAATTCACCCGCCCTCCCTCACTTTACCCAACACCATTTTAAGTACACCCAGCCTAACCCAAGCATATACAAAAAAATATAGGATCTCCAGCTTTGCTGCCGATCCTCTTGACAAAACTACAAACCAAGCAAAGCAAGGCAGCAAACGCTATCAAACCACCTCCATAGTGCATCTTCGTTCCCCTCATCCCCATTACCCTTACCTTCTCCCCTAAACCTCCCCATGTTTCACAGGTCCTACTCTTCCTGCTCATGGCAGTTCTGAAGCCGCAGCAGCGGCAGCAGCTGCCACAGCAGCCGCAGCAGCAGCAGACTGTGCAGGGTGCATGATTGGCAGAGCAGCAGTGGGGCTAGTGGTACTAATGAAACCTGTGGGGCCTGCGGCTGGAGCTGGGACTATGAGAACAGGGCAAGCAGCATTGCGCATGCAGTAGTTGCTCACACTGCCCATGGGGAACCTGCGCCCCAGGCGGAGGTGGAAATATAAGGGGCATTGACAACAAGGGAGGCGGGTGGTTGTTGGCAAGAAAGTCACGACACACCTTCAATGAATGGAATTGGACAGCCATGTCACATGTGGCACTACATGGGGGATTGATATTGCGCCAACAGTGCAAACTGTGGCATGACTCCCTAACCACCAGCATACCATGCAATGCCACGCCATGCCATCCATGCCATGCCCTCCATGCTATCCATGCCATGCGATGCCCCCACACGAATCACCATTCGTTCACCTAAGCCCTTCCAGCCCTTCTACTTTCCCTGAACCGATACTCCCTTCCACCACCCCTTAATGTCCTTGCAACGCCCAGAATCCTCACTGCTATCTATCGAATCCCTCCCACCACACCCCTCCTTCCCTTCTTCCACCCCCCCAACCCTCCCCCCCGCACACACACTCGTACCCACCCACAGCCTCCCCCTCCCCTCCCCCCTCCCCCTCCCTCTCCCCTCCCCCCACCCCTTCCCCCTCCCCTCCCCCCACCCCTTCCCCCTCCCCTCCCCCCACAACCTCCCCCTCCCCTCCCCCCACAACCTCCCCCTCCCCCCCCCCCCCACAACCTCCCACTCCCCTCCCCCCAAACCTCCCCCTCCCCCTCCCCCCCTTCCAACCCACCCATCAACCAGCACACACACAACCCTCCTTCCCCCTACACAAACACACACATACACACATGCGCGCGCGCACGCACACACACTCGCGACCCGCCCGCTCACCTTTTGAGCATACTATTTCCTCGCGAGCCCATGACCAGCATATCCGCGCCCACGTATTTCGAATAGTTGCTAATCACGTCGCGCGGGTCGCCTCTTAACTCCACACCTTTCACTTCTAACCCGCCTACCCCCATACTCGCTGCTTCCACAACCACCCCGCGCCCCCCATGGCTGGTCGGACTGCTTTCCGCGCTGTGCCCGGGACTGCTGTCCGGACTGCTATTTGTGCTGCCGCAACTGGCGCCGCTTCCCGCCCTCTCCGCGCTCTTATCCGCGGGGCGCACGCGCTGCGTCTCCTGCGCGGCCATCTGGCAGCAGATGCCAAGAAGCTCGCGCGAGTCGGCGCGCGATTGGCGCTCCATGCGCTGAAAAGGCTGCTGCCATAGGGGCGTATTTTCCACGTCAAAATCTACGCGGGGAGAGGGGGGAAAAGAGGGGATATGGGGAGAAAAGGGGAGCGGGGGGGACGGGAGGAGAGAGGAGAGAGTGGGAGAGGTAAGGTGGGTAGAGAAGGACGAAAGGTGGGGATGCAAGAAGAGAAAGGAGTTTCGATGAAATAGACTGAGAAAAAGAGAAGATTTCAGTTGATGCGGAAGAAACGAAAAATGACTATAACGAGGGACGGTGACGTGGGCCGGAACAGGGATAGGGACGGAGAGGCAATCCGGCAGGCGGGAGCGCATGGCAACGGCGGTACCATGGTCGAAGGGGCGGCGCGCGTGCACGATATGGATCTCCTTGGCCGTGGGGCCGAACATGCGGATGGCGGCTCGCAGAGCCTCGATGCTGTTCTCGCTGCCGTCCACCGCCACCGCCACCTTTATCGGCTTCTGCTGCCCAGGGTACCGCGGGATGCGGAAATTAGGGGGTATCGAGAGGGAACGAGGTTAGGCGAGAAATCAAGGAAAATAGGAATAAATAAAGGGTAAAGAAAATCGGAGGATTCAAGAATTCGACAAAGATGCAAGAACGACGCAACTAGCTTCCATTCTGAGGTAACCGCGAAAGAGTAGGCGCGCCTAGCTGTTGGCAGTGAAGCCCGGCTAGATACAAGCGTGAATACACGCGCTCCGGATACAAAGCAGGTGCCATTCCGGCGGTCTCACGATAGCAGAAGGGGAAATATTAACGGTTTAATTACTATGACCTGCATGGCATGTGCGTCGCGACTCGCGACCTATCCGTGAGAACGTAACGTTGGGCACACTTACGGAGTCGACACTGGTGGAAAGATTCAGAGACGCGCACTGGCTCACAGCGGAGCGACTCCATAGCGAGGATAGCTGAAAAAGAGAGCTTAAAGGGAAGCGGGCGCGCGAACATGACCCGGCCGCGCGCGGAAAGCGCACCTGACTGGCGGCTCTCTCGTCCATGACGGCTGTACGCGATATAGACCTCGTTGTGACCAGTTCCTAGAGGAAAAGTAGACTATCAAAGCAACTGAACGAGACGAGATTGAAAGAAATGGAGGCTATATTATCTCAGGAGGGTGGAGTGAGCTTGAGCAGGTTCTCTGTCACGTGTAAGAGGATAAGATTGCTCCCTAGGAAAATGCAGAAGATTGGAGTTGGAGATCTCGCGGGGTCCAAGTTTGCGGCACGCGCGGAAATTGGCGCCATTTCTGCTGGAGAGGCCTTCGTTTTGTTCTGTGAATGGATGCTGAACGAATATTTCTTGAGTGTCACGTTCTCTGTACCCTTCAATGTATGGGTGTTTCACAGTGTTGTTCTGATTTTGGAGCCCTGGTTGCTTCTCAAAATTCTGTTCTGTAGGAGCGGTTCTTGGTACCTTGATTTCGATCTTCGGACGCCAGTTTGACACGAAGTGGAATGGACAGATACGAGGTACGCAAGTGTAGAATTGATGGTCCTGTCAGACATTCGTACGGTACTCTGACATGAGGTTGGCTCATGGTGCCTCGTACGCGCTCCTAGAGCCAAGCAATGCTTACAGAAGTACGTCAGCGACCAAGCAAACAAATGGTAAAATTTTGGTAAGCTTGCAGTGCACAGAGACGGACTGGACGCGCCCGAAAGATCCACCCGAGCGTGCGCTGCGTACGGCAGACAGACAACCATGCCGCAACTCTCTGTACCCAATGTTTATCCACAACATAGCGTCGTCACTGTAGCCCATTTGTTGCGGAAACACGCAAGCTGCCTGCAAGCTTTTACCAATGGGATGCCAGTTCAGCAAGACGACAACCACGTAATAAAATATGTGGCTTGCTGACTCATATATAAGCAAAAGGCATCGTCACCGCCACGTCGATCACGTGACACTAGGGCAGCAATCGGATGTGGAAGGGTAGGCAACCAGCTCAACCACTGGACCTGAGGAACCTCGCTTGAAGCTCCATCGCAGTTAGGCGTTATTATAGAGAACTTGAACGTAACTTGAATCTTTCATCTTCTTACGTCTTACAGGTGAAAATATCAAGATTCAAACGAGAACAATACATATCTCAACCATTTATTTTATTTTACATGTATATAATAATATGTTTTATATTTATTTAATTTAATAATAATAATTCATTCACAGAATCTGGATGAAGCAAGAGGTATGCACCCAGGTTGGAGCCTCAGGTAATTAAGGCACGAATGTTTTATTTCCAGGTTGTATTTATCCCTGACTATTCAATACCGTACTACCCCTTGAATCTCATACTGATGTTATTCCAAAAGATCAATATGATAGTAAAATTGACTTGTACACCATATTTCATGCGCCAATCACCAGTTTCCCGCCTTCCCTCCAAATTTGCCGGTTTGAAATTCTATCGAGAACTGCCGCCATCAGGAGACCTATCAGTGAACATACCTCATTCCCAGCCCAGCCTCTCCCCCCCGTGAGCCGCCACCACACCACACACCCAATAGTGAATTACACCACTACCACCACGCTCACCTGGAGCTTTCCTTGTTCTGCTTCTTATGAGACGGGAGGACGAAGAGCCTGGATCTTTCTTCCGTATCCACCACTGAAACCACGCTCCGATGTCATAATTCCTGTTCAACGTCGCTTCCCAACATCCCCTCACCATACTTTCCTAGGCGACGAAAAGGTGGAACTAGTCGTCTCTACCATGTCGGTCTTCCCCAGGCCTGCGGGTAACAGTGTCGGCCGGTCAGAGGGGACGGTCCCAAGCAGGACGGAGTTCCCTTCGTTTCCGTACGACAAGCCGTACGAAATCCAGCTCCAGCTGATGCGCGCCGTGTATGCCGCCGTGGAGCACGGCCAGGTCGGAATCATGGAGAGCCCCACAGGTTCGTCTACGAATTTACTACCAATGATTTCCTGGCGAAGTGGTAGCACACGGATTTTTTCGTCCGTGGGCTTTGCTGGTTGAAGTAATCGGTTTGGGTTTCCTAAGGTTCGAGATCAGCTGTGCTTCGAGTCCGCCTTCGGGTGAATTACCGTAACACGAGTTTCGGATCTGAATAGCTGCATTCGATTCGCCTGAATGAGAAGGAAAAATTGCCACTTTTCTAATTGTTTGTGTTCGGTTGAGTTGCGTTATCTCGCGTGTTGATCTAGTCTGCATTTTTGTGTGGTGCAGGTACGGGCAAGACTCTGAGCCTCATCTGCAGCGTGCTGCAGTGGCTGCTGGACGAGCATGAGCGGCAGGTACCGCACTCGCTAATTAGTAGCCGCATGCTTCGCACACGTCGCACTGTTTCAAGGCGATTCAGTCGTCATCGCACGTCGCGACGCTCATCGCTGATGGTGTTTTCATTCTCACAACCAAGAAGAAATAAGCACGAATGGATTCCTCGTCAGGGCCCAATTCTCCTCCACCGCATCCCGTCCAATTCCACCCTGCCCCCCCCCCGCCACACCCCCCCCCCGCTCCTCCCCCCTCCCCCCTCCCCACACTGGTGCAGGCCCAGAGCGCAGCGGGCAACCAAGCAGAGCAACCTCCCAGCGCTGGAAAAGGTTGCGAAGATGGCAGTAACAGTGGCGACCGCGAAGACCGTGGCGACTGTAAAGCCTCTGAAGATTGTGAACCAGATTGGCTCAGGGACTATGAGGGGGTGAAAGAGCGAGAGGCTGCGGCCAGGGTGTGTGCGCAGCGGCAGCAGCGGCTGGAGCACCGCAGGCGGGAGAGAGAGGCTGCTAGCGCGGACGTGCTTGGGCCGGGCGGCATTCGGTGGCAGCATGTGCAGGTGCAGGGGAGCGGTGAGGATTCTCAGGGGAGGTGGGGGCGGCGATCGTTTGGAGGGGCGATTGCCAATGGGGATTTGATGAATGGGAGAGGTGTGGTGGGGAAAGGGAGTGGGCGGAAGGAAGGCGATATGGAGCCGGAGCAGGGGATTGGGGGTTGTGGGCGGGAGGAAGAGGAGGAGGAAGAGCAGTTTTTGGTTCCGGAATGGGAGAGTGATGACGATGATGGTGGAGGTGCTGCTGCTGCTGCAGGCAGGACAGGGCATGGACGGAAAAAGCGAGCACGTGGAAAGGTGGGTTGTTCTTTCTTCTCAGTATTAAGTGTGCTGCATTGGGAGTGCCCCAGCACGTGATTGGCTCTTTCCAGCCGTTGTTCCTGGGGAGGCCTTATAGCCTCCTGGTATTGTCTTGCGTACATGCACTGGCGTGTGAGGCAAAAGAAACGTGCTGCTAGCCTGCTCTACTGCACCGTTAACTGCTTCCTTGCCAGTGGTTTTAACTGCCGGTTGTTGCTTTGACTGCCTGGCAGGGAGCATCGGGCGCGAGTGACAGCAGCAGTGACGAGGAGAGTGGTGGCGGTGCTGCTGCTGCTGCAGCGCGCATGGCAGGCACGAGGGCAGCTGAGGCTCTGGCAGAGGAGTCGCTCAAGGTGTTCTTCTGCAGCCGTACACACTCGCAGGTGCGGTGGAAATGTGGTGGGAATGCTGGCTTGCGTGAATGATAAGGGGCAATGTCGTTTTGCAGCTCGCAAAGTTCATCTTAGAGTTACGTCGAAGCGATCTGCAGACCATATTTTGACGTTGCCCCTCGCCTTTCTTGTGTCCCGTCTTCCTCCCGTGCCTGCAGCTGTCCCAATTCATCACAGAGCTGCGTCGAACGCCCTTTGCGGACCAGCTTTTCACCGTGTCCCTCGCCTCTCGCAAGAACCTCTGCATCAACCAGTGTACGTGCGGTGCGGACCAACTGACACGTAAAAATTGCAAGTATGAATCGAGTCGACGTCATTCTCAATCAATGGATCACTCCATGCACACCTTCACTTAGTGTAACAATGGCACGCGCCACCTTCACTTGGTCGTTCCTTCTTCGTCTTTCTTATTCTTCTTCTCACCATGCACGCGTCACTCCACCCAGCACCACGCTCGCGGCTCACCTACTGCATTGCCGCTCCTCCACGCCCATCGATGTGGAAACTGAACTGTGCAACTCGATTCTTGAAACTCCTCAATGATTGTCTGTTGCGTTGCCCTCACTGCCTTCCCTGCCCTCCCTGCCCTCCCTTGTCCCCCTGTCTCGCCTGTCCCCCTCGCCCGCCTGGCTCCCCTGCAGCGGTGCTGAAGCTGGGCAATGCGAGTGCCATCAGCGAGCGTTGCTTGGAGCTGCAGCGCCTGGCAGCGGAGAGGAAGAGCAAGACGAGCAAGCAGGGCGAACGGGTGGGTGCCATGCACGATACACGTTACACTCAGCTTTGGCTGCAACTTTCCTACTTATGCACACATTCCTTTCGAACAACTCCTGGTTTTCATCCATCTTTCTGCCTTTTTCCTGTTGACTTTTTAGTTTCCATGTACAAGCCGATAAGATAGTTCCGTCATACGAACCCAGTCACTTTTGCACATTTTCACATGCTTGAACCCCCTTGCTCCAATTTTAAGACGCCTCAACGTTCATGCAAAAGTGTAAGGGTCCTCTTTCTCGAAGCGTCTCAATAGTTGCTGATTCCGATGCATGGACTCCTTGATCCAGGACCAAGCAAGCAAGGACCGCACGCGCGCATCCGCGTCTGCGTCTACCTGTGGCTGTCCGTACTGGGGCAAGGCGCAGCGGCAGCAGCAGTTCCGTCTTTTGCACCCAGTCATTCTGCGCACTCTCACATGTATGAACCCCCTTGCTCCAGGACCAAGCAAGCAAGGGCCGCACGAGAACATCCCCGTCTGCATCCGCGTCTGCGTCTGCCTGTGGCTGTCCGTACTGGGGCAAGGCGCAGCGGCAGCAGCAGTTCCTGCAGCACCTTGTGGCAGCACCGCCGGCTGATATAGAGGACCTGGGGCGCCTGGGGTCACGGTGGGTGCTGGGTGGGTGGGTTGGAGGGTGGGTGGGTGGGTGGGTTGGTGGGTGTGGTGGGTGGGTGGGTGGAGCTGTTGCTATTGAAGCGAACATGAACCTGAGTCGACTCCATAGTCTTCTTGCAGCACCTCGTGGCAGCACCGCCAGCTGACATAGAGGACCTGGGCCAACTGGGGGCACGGTGGTGGTGGTGGATGCCATGTGCTGCTTCTTGCTTCTTGCCACTGCTGCTTCACTGAAGTTAAAATCAGCTCCGGGCTGTTTATTTCACGGCCACCTTGTTCAAGCTTCTGTTTTGATACAGAACCGAATGGTTATGTATAATCTGCCCGCCCCTGCACCCCTGCCAGCCTGGATACCTGCCCGTATTACGCGGCTCGGGCAGCAGCACGGGCAGCAGACGTGGTTGTGCTGCCATACCAGTCCCTGCTACACAAGGGCGCTAGAGAAGCCCTGCTGGGAGCAGGGGAGAGAGCTGTAACAGCCAGCCACGGAGGAGGAGGAGGCACAGCAGGAACAGCAGCAACAGCAGGAGTAGTGAGAGCAGCAGGTGGCGTGACATCATGTAGCAGCAGGAGCAGCAGCAATAGCAGCAATAGCAGCAATGGGGTGCTGAGCAACAGTGTGGTAGTGGTGGACGAGGCACACAACCTTACAGACGCGCTGGCAGGCATGCACAGCTGCAGCCTGTCCGCGCGGCAGGTGCATCTGGTGCAGGCGCAGCTGGCGGGGTACCTGGAGCGCTTCAGGCACAAGCTGGGAGCGGGGAACCGGCGGTATGTGCTGCAGCTGCAGGTTGTGGCGCGAGGCATTGGGGCTGTCATTGCGAGCGCTAAGCAGCCACGTGAGTTGATGAATTGATGATGTATGTTATCCTCTCTCCTTAGGTTCGGCAGCTGCAGGTGGTGGCGCGAGGCGTTGGGGCTGTCATCGCGAGCGCTAAACAGCCCTGTGAGTTGCCTCATTGCATTGCTTGTGCTCTCTCGTCTTCTTTCCTCTCTTCTCCTTCTCCTTCTCCCCTCACGTTCCCGTCCCTCTCGTACCCCCACGCCACGCCCCGTTGCTCTTCCCCATTGTGTCCCCCGCATCTGCCCATCCATTCCGCTTCCTTCCCGTCTCCACCCGACTGGGCCATGCTGGGCACAATCATATTTACTCCTCGCCCTTGTTCGCTGCCTTTCTTACAGTTACATTGACCACACCGTTAGCCCTCCCCGTTGTCCCCTCTGTCGGTCTCTCCTCTCTTCACACTGCGCCAGGCATGCAGGGCATAGACAAGTTTCTCTTCTCCTTGGCCGTGGACAATATCAACCTCTTCAAGAGTCAACACGTTTCTGCGCGCTTCTTCCCTCTTGTGCCCGCCCCATCCGTTTCCCCACCCTCTCGCGTCCGCCAGGCATGCAGGGCATAGACGAGTTCCTCTTCTCCCTGGTGGTGGACAACATCAACCTCTTCAAAGCGTCCTCATCCTTCTGCCCTTACCTCCCGCTTGTGCCCGCCCCATCCGTCCCTTCCCTTTCTTTTCCCTCTCGCCGTCGCACACACCGCCAGGCATGCAGGGCATAGACGAGTTCCTCTTCTCCCTGGCTGTCGACAACATCAACCTCTTCAAGCTGCACCACTACGTGCAAGCCTCCAACATAGCCCACAAGGTGATGGGCGTTCAATCAATGATGAGCTCGGGTTTTGACCCGTTCCGAGAGTGCGTTTCGAGCTTTGAGACGTCTAAAAAACCCCACCACTACGTGCGTGCACACCAGGTGATCAAGCCAGCCCGTCTGAAAACTATACCCACTCCTTCTCCACCTTCTGATTCCCACCCTGTCTCGTTCTCCCTCCTCCCTGTTTCCTCCCCAAACGTTTCCCGGGTCCCAACCTCGACCTTACAATTGTCAACAGATCAGCTCCTATGGCGAGTCAGTCCTGCTCAAGACTCTCACTACCACCAACACCACTACCACCAACAGCAGCAGCAGCAGCACCACCCCCTCCTCTTCCACCTCCTCTCCTCAGCCGTCGCAGCACAGCATTGGAGTGAGCGCCTTCCGTGCGTTTGCCGAGTTCTTCTCCTCTCTCTGCAGCGCCAATGCAGACGGGCGCGTGCTGCTGTCGCCCGCTCCCACCCCGAACCATCCCACCAACCACAGCAAGCACAGCTGTAACAGCAGCTTTCGTGGCAAGAACACGGGGGCGAAGGAGAGGGAGGGGGGGAGTGGGAGTGGGGTGGGGGTTGGAACGGAGGAAGGCGAGCAGGGGAAGGAGGATGGTGGTGGAGGGTTTGTGAAGTTTGTGATGCTGAACACTGCACAGCACATGGAGGAGGTGAGGGGTGCGATGGGTACAGAAAGAAAGTGGAAAGGGCAAGGGTGAGGGCAGGGGATAGCAGGGTGGTCATCGATGGTGGTGGAGGGTTTGGAAGTTTGTGATGCTGAACACTGCACAGCACATGGAAGAGGTGAGGGTCCTTAATGGGTACGGGGAGAGGAGGGGAAGTGGGAGAGGGGGAGAGGGGACAGCAAGATGGTCACTAAACGTGTTGGAGGGTTTGTGAAGTTTGTGATGCTGAACACTGCACAGCACATGGAAGAGGTGAGGGGTGCGATGGGTAAAGGGACAAGGGGACGGTGAGGGGGAGGGGAGGGGGAAGGGAGGGGGAGTGGAGGGAGAGGGGAGGGGGAGGGCAGGGGAGAGCAAGAAGGGCATGTGAGGTGAGAGGGTTTGTGAATTTACTGCTCCCATGCTGCACAACTTGCCCAACACTGGCTAAATAAACTCCTCCCCACCTCCCTTTTCCTCTCAGCTCCTCGTATCAGCGCGCGCCATCATCCTGGCAGGCGGCACGCTGCAGCCCCTAGACACCATGCTGGATCAGCTCTTTCCATCCCTGCCCCCTGTCTCCTCTGTCCACCCCTTTTCCCCGCCCCTCCCCATTTCCCCGCAGCTCCTCGTATCGGCGCGCGCCATCATCCTAGCAGGAGGCACGCTGCAGCCCCTAGACACCATGCTGGACCAGCTCTTTCCATC